GAAATCTATTGAAAGTACGTTATAAAGTATTTGAAGGTGTAGAAGAGGGGGTATGAACTCACTTGATTGAAGTGGTAGCCTGAAGAAGTTAAGACAAAGAATCGAGCAGAACTTCGACTAGAGAAAGTTGAATTCTCGGGAATTCTCAGGATCCTTGGGAGCATAAGACATCCTTCTGATCTCGAGTATAATAACCAGGGCTTCAGAGAGGCTTCGAGAGGCATAAACGCATAGTAACGACACTTAGATGGAAAGAAATGAGAACTAAACCTAACACCCCTAAGCTTCTATTTATAGGGAGGGTTTTGGGGTCTCACGTCGTGAATATAGCCTTGTTCACATCATGAAGCTGAGTCAGCTCTATCCCCGTCGATGATTTAATGTGGCTGACACTCTGGAACCCATCAGTCACAGTCTCACGTCATTAATATGGAACTGTTCACGTCATGAGGCTAAGTCAGCCTTGGGTTTTGTGTCTCGAACTTGTAAAATCCGTAACTTTTTCGTACGAGCTCCAATTTTGACGTTGTTTATATGCACCCATAGGTGTGAGAATGCTCTAATACTATTGTTTAGAATTCGTCGGCTAGTTTTGACTTTATTTTTATTATATTAATTTTAGTAGGCCGGGTCAGGAAAAGTCCGTTTAAATTCCATAACTTCTTCATCTGATGTCCATTTTCGTCAGTCTTTGTTACCGTTGTATTCCTAGTGTTGAGGTCTTCAACTTTCGTTTAGGTTTTGTTAGCTGAAAATTGCTCGATCTCTAATTCGAGTTTGTAGCTACCTACTGCTAGGTCTGAAACATCAAAAAATCATAACTTCCTCATACGAAGTCAGATCTGGGCGTTCTTTTTATGTATGTTTGCGGTTTAAAGATATCTACGACTTTCATTTGGATATCTAAGGATAAAAAGTATTTTATTGAAATTTCTCGTTTTATGCTTAACAACGCTTTACCGGTAGCGTTACGAATCTTTGATTGGTCATAACTCCTTCGTGATAACTCGGATTTTAGTGTTTTTTATATTTTTGGAATACTTATCATGATATCTACCACATAGTGTACTCAAATGGAGCTTTTTGAACATTTCATTTTCAATGATATTCTTATTACTTCACAAAGAGATTACAAGACTCGACTTTAGACATTACATTGACCTTAAATAACGGGTTGTTACAATTTCCATTTCCATCGGCATTTCCAAATACAGTATTCCTATTGGCTTCGTAGTTAGAAATAGCATATGCGACGTGTTGAGCAACTAATGCTTCAATAGTCGTTGATTCCATTACTAGCGTAGGATCTGGGGTAGGTGTTGGTGTTCTAGGATTGCATTTGGTAACTCATCTCAGAGGCATGCTTTAGTTCTATTAGAGATATTTCAAAGTAAGTATTAGTTATCTGAAGCTTTTTCCTAAGTCATACATATGTGCATAATAATGACTATTTCATTCGCAAGAATTAGTGTAAATTTGTAAAAGTCCTTTATAGATTAATATGTTGTACTTTAGAATCCTCAAATAGTTCTTTATTCATATAATATTGTAAGCAATAATTGGATAAGTTTTTTTTGATCATATAAGTTTATCGAATGTCATTGTAATCATTTCAAGAATCTTTACATTTTAACATACACATTGTTTTAGTAACAATACTTGCTTCATATATAAACATTTCTTTGTACATATACATTGGTTTTTCCCAAAATTTGGTTACAAGAAACACAAAAGTTAGTGTGGTTAGGGTGGAAAAGCTTGATATACTATCATACAAAAGATGATACTCAAAAGTAGGTAGCTAGGTTACTATAAACCAACTGTTCCCCGTACCCCTAACCCAAAAATATCCCGGGGCACAACCCGCCCGGGTGAGTCTACCATAAACCTAGAAAAGTACCTAGTACAGTAACTAGGTGGGTGAGCTATTGTTGTACAGATTCGACCCTCATCTCAGCCACATAAGCTGTGACATCCCCATTTTCATGGCCGTAAAAGACTCATTTTTGTTTATGCTTTATAAAAATCAGAGTATCTCTTTTAATAAAAATGTAGTGGAATTTGTTCCCAGAAAAACATGATAATTTCATTATCAAAGCATTTCCGAAGAAATGTATTTTTATTCATTTTAAAACATTTGGGATGTCATCGTCAATACAGAAACATAAGCATAAACAAAACTTACATTCATTTACACTAGTTGATCTATATCTCCTTAATCTCTCAGTGTAATGTAACTTCACCTCGTCACCTGTGATACAAGTAAACTGAGTGGGTCAAGTTGGGAAACCTGGTGGGTACATAGGTTTTCAACCCATAATAATAGAATTATTATGTTTAATCATCAAACAATTAACCCAATTACCCATCCCCATTATCTTCTTTATTCCTAAGTACCTTCCCTAAGGATTCATCCTAAGGATTGTCTCCTACATCATATTTACCTCTTATCTCCTTACATCGCATTTCCTTATATGTTTGTTCCTAAGGAGTCTTCCTAAGGATCATCGCCTACATTGCATAGGAAATATTGATTCAGGGATTACTCCCTCAATACCTGCCCAACAAGTGTTAATGCATTATTGCATGAATACGTAGTTACAACATCGTCTAAACTCGTAATTCATAGTAAGGGGTTAGAGTATCATCGCATGAATACGTAGTTACAACATCGCCTGAACTCGTAATTCATCACCTACAGGTTATGGGCCTACTGGTGTTTCCACGGGGTTGTCTAGAATAGTCTGTAGTAGCCATATATACTCGTGTAGATGACTACATCGCTACATTGCTGGTTAAGGTTATGGTATCTCCTTTTATCCTACATCACCTATTCATCAACATCTATTTACCTAATTATCATCACCTTTCTATCATCACGTATCTCTCATCATTTTACTTCATCGCACACCGACTATTTCATCTACCCATGTTTCATCCGCAACATATTTGTAGATATAAAATAAATATACCATTTAAATCTTTTAAAACATGTATAAAATCATTCTTCCAGAATAGACATCAAGTATTTAAATAATATGCACACATAACACGTAATTTATATAAAATACTTCATATCTATGTGTAAGATAAAAGTAACTATGCACTCACTTGAAAAGGTGTTGATTCCGAACTCAGACAGCGCTTCGCTTCTTAATTTTTTTTCCTTCGACGAAACCTAGTATTATTACCACTAGAGTTTAATCTATTGTTCGTCGAGACTAATTAATAGTCTAGGTATTATTACTATTATATAAGCGTTAAACAATACTTATATAATCCATATTCATAGTCCAAGTACTTATTATAAGTTCCTAATAACGGTATTATAATTAAATAAAAGCTATATTAAAAATAGCGTAGGCGTAGCTCACTTACAACATGTTTTATAGAAAATCGGACTTTTCTTGGAGCAGCGTTCCCGAGACAAAAAGCTCTTCTTCTCGGAGCCGTCGAGCACTCCGGGGCTTCCGCCTCGTGCTAGGGAGGTTCCCTAGGCTTTTCGGGGGGTTTCGGGGCTAGAGAGAGGTTATATAGAGAGAGAGAGTACAAAGAAGAAATAATGGGGAAGGTGTGAAGAAGATGAGGGTGATAGAGGTTCTATTTATAGGGTGAAATATGGCTAAACTTGGTGCCACATGTCACCATCTGGTGGCAAGACTTGGGAAGAAAGCAATGGCCAAGATTGTGCCACGTCACCTATTTTTCGCACAACACACTTCCGACTTCTAAAATCTGTAATTTTAACATACGAGCTCCTTTTTTGGCATTATTTATATCCACGTGTTGGTAAAAATAATATCTACAACTTTTATTTTGACTCCGTCGGCTAATTCTCGACCGATCTTAAATTTAACAATACGAGAAGATTAGACTATTAAATGACCGCGAAAAATTCGTAATTACTTCATACAGACTCCGTTTTCATCTATCTTTTTACCATTGGGTGCCTATTAATGAGATCTTCAACTCCCATTTAGGTTGCGGAAGCCAAAAACCGCTCGAAGTAAAATTCGAGTTTTGGGTCGTGCACTACTAAGCCAAATCTTAGAAAAATCACAACTTCCTCATACGAAGTCAGATTTGGGTGTTCTTTTTATGGAGGCTCTTAGGTTAACATATTCTATGACTTTCATTTAGATCACTAAGGCTAAAATTCGGTCTATCATAAATTCACTATTTACGTTTCCCCAGTACCATGCCGGTACCATCGCGAAACTTCGACGAGTCATAACTTCTTCATTATAACTCGGATTTTGGCGCTCTTTATATGTATGGAACCCTTGATACATATTCCACAACTTGGTTAATATTATTTATTCTAAATAATTTTTGTTGAAAGGTCGTTTTCGACCCCTATTATCTCTAAATTGACTAGCCCGGTTCTACGGGCGTTACATAAGCTCTGGCCTCAGATGCCCTCACCTTATACTCCATAACCTGTGCCATAAGCTCCATTCCTGAAATTTGAGCTTCCTGGGTCAGCAGCTGTACCTGGATAGAATCCAGATGATCGAAAATAAGTTGTATGACTTCCTCATTTAGACTTCGATCCTCTTCTAAGCTTTGAATTTTATCATGATGACCCGTGGAGTTCCCCTTAATAATCCATATTTCAGTAGTGATGATGCGTACTTTATGAACAAGGCATGATATACAAGAAACTAAGATGGGTATAGCGGGATCTGAAGATGCCTCATGGGGAGGGGTGGGTAGTCGAACTCGTGATGACTCTCCAACTTCGAATTAGGATGGTATTTCATCCTCATCTTTCCATTCTTGTAGTTGTGTTACCTAGGATGGATTTGGATGTGCTCTTTTTGGGGCTTCTAGAGATGCTGGTAGTGGAGTGGCTTGCTTCCGTTTGCGGATAGGTATGGATGTTCGTGGAGTGTATGCTACAAACGGACCATTATAAGTATGTCGGTAAATATGGAAGGCTGGTAGAGGTGGGGGGGGGGGGGGCTTATTGCTTAGTGGTTGGTTTAGGCTCCTTGATTGTCTCTCTTTCTACCTCGGGCTCCTGATCCTCCCACTAAGAGTAATCAACAAACTCAGTCTCCTCTTTAACAGGATCAGTCTCTACATCTACATGCTCATCAGAATCTCCAACTTGGTCTAAGGGATCATCCTCCTCATAGGGTTCCTCGTATGAGGTTAAAGGGGACAGTGGTATTGGAACCTCAAGAAGAGGAGAAACATCGGGCTCAGGCGAGTGGGGCACCGCCTGATCCTTCTCTGCCCATGGTATCATTGTCCAATCTATCGGGTCTGCCATGATTCTGCATAAGACATCAAACATGATAGATGTTTATGAGAGATAGAGTGATGATCTATATACAAATAATCTTCAATTATAAATATATAATAGACATTACTGGTATTTCCAGTGAATCCCCACAAAGTATATGTCGTATATGTGACTCAGAACTATGTTTCTAATCTAAACAATTCTCAAGAATTTAGATTTCTCAACTAGAGTATCAAAGTATAGTCGTGCATCGGTCAGACCATAATAAAACTTAGGCACGCGAGCTAAGTCTAGTTATGGTTTGGTCGCTGTACTGTACCAACTTAGATAATGTATTTAGCCTAAACTCTGGAGTTTATGTTCCTATGGATTTTTATTGTATGTTACATCTGTAAGTATAATTGTTTTCGTCGAGGGTTATAGTTTATAAATCACTCTATATCTGAAGTTTGTTTTTGTGTTTTATTAATTTTTATTTGGTACTTTAAGATTATCAATTAAGGATAAGTCAATCAAGTAAAGTTAGATGGCAGGATTAGTTCAATGTATAGCTTTTCTGAAATCCAACAACCCATGACGACAAATCCATCTTAGACATTTCTCCGGTAAGTAGTTTATAGTTGTTTAATTAATATATTTATTATTATGTTTAAGAGATACACTGGATCAGAGTAGTGAGTCTAAAGCTATAGTCGTAATTTCCTAAGAAAATACTATTTCGCTATAACCAATAGCTCTGATACCAATCTGTCACACCCTGACCGATGACGGAAATACCAAGCTTGTCTGACGCCATCATGGTTCACAGTTATTGATTACATTGAACAATAGAACACAAATTTTATTTTTATATTAAAAAATATATTACATATTGTACTAGATTTTTATAATACAAGAAACCAAAAATTATAAGTAATACTTAATCAGATAATTACAATAATGATAAAAAGCGCTCCGACGATTCCATGAAGATTTCCCAAAAGATTGATACGACCGACTCTTATTTTACTGAGAATACATGTGATTTAAAAAATATCAACATAAAGTTGGTGAGTTCACAAGTTTGTATATTTATATTAACGTACTTTTTACTCCAAAGAATATTGTATATAAGTATTTTCAAACTTATGTTTGTATATGAACTTTATTTTCATAAGTACTTGTTCTATCGTATATAAGTATTTCAACTTATATATTCTTTTAGGCGTGATTATCAATGTTACATGAGTTGTGATAATCGAGCTACAGACAAGTTGTTGCCCCTCACGACGCTTCATCGAACGTCATAGTGTTTAGACACTTATCACCCATGACTTGACCGTCGATGGTTGTAGCTAGCAACCGCAAGTAGGATGTCAGCCCGTATAGATCTATACATATCCGTCCCGTTCACTTAAGCTTTAACGATTATACGTAGAAGACTTTATAAAGTATTACACTTAGATAATAAATGTGTATCATGTAAACCCTTGAATGAGTAGCACTAAAAGTTGTAGTCTTATAATTTTAAATGTTTATGTTATATAATTATAAAAAGATTTTTATAATTATACCATTAAATAATTTTGTAAAAATTTAAATAGGCAGAATAAAACCAATGTGTAATAATTTATTCATAGATTAACGACAATGCATAATATAATTTTATATTATGTAGCTATCATAACAGCACAACATAATAGAATTTTATATTATGTGGGCATAGTAACGGCAATGCATAATATAATTTTTATATTATGTGTGCATAGTAACGGCAATGCATAACATAATTTTATATTACGTGGATATAATAACGACAATGCATAATATAATTTTATATTATGTGGGCATAGTAATGATAATAAATTATATAATTTTATATTATGTGTACATAGTAACGATAATGCATAATATAATTTTATATATGAGCATAATAACGGCAATGCATAATATAGTTTTATATTATGTGGGCATAGTAACGACAATACATAAAATAATTTTATATTATGTAGGCAACATAACGATAGTGGTTACTAAATTTTATATAGGTAAACGATTGTTTCTATGGTAAATTATTATAACGATTATTTAACTAAATTATAAACCAGATAAACACTTCATTATTTATATATTAAATAAGATAAAAACATGTATCCTTCCCGAAAATGATAAAAAATTTAAAATGAGGCCGTGAAACTCACAATCGTAATGTAGTTTTTAACAATTATTCCTGTTGTTGAGAGAGTAGTCTAGCAGGACCTTGGGTGTTGGTAATTTGATTCATTTTCTTTGATATAGGTTACAGTAGTTCATCTATTTATACTAAAAATACACCGCCTCCAAACACATCCTTCCTACGTGTTGTTAGTGCTTATTAATTGACACGTTATAGTTATAGTTGACACCTCAATTAAAATTTATGGAATATTTGGTTGACACGTCCTCATTAATTCTCACCCATACATTAGGAAATAGCTTCCATATTGATCATATAGACATATATTTTTATTTACCATACATATGATTCATTTAGTAATTAAATTCATTCATAATATATATATATATATATATATATATATATATATATATATATATATATATATATATATATAGAAAAGTGAATATTCCCTTAAAGGTATATAAGCTTAGGTACCCAAACTCATTATAATACGCCATTTTGTTTAATATATTCATTATAATGTTTTTAAACTTCAACCATTAACTTGATTTACTTTTAAAATTTTCGAAATTTCATGTTTATCTTCCTCTTACATCATATCTTTTTGCCGAACACCTAGTAAGCTATATATATTATAGTTGAAAATGAAAATTATATAAAAGGAATATAAATGTGAAATTGATAAAAATCTTGGAAGTAAATCAAGTTAGAAGTTGAATTATAAGAACATTGGACAATTACAATGTATATATATGATACAAAACGATGTATTATAGTGAGTTTGGGTACTTAAGCTTATATACCCTTAAGGGTATATACACTTTTCCCATATATATATATATATATATATATATATATATATATATATATATATATATATATATATATATATATATATATATATATATATATATATATATATATATATATATATATATATATATATATATATATGAACGTAGCTTATAGAAAGAAATATTTCAATCAATTTAAAACATAAAACACATAGTAATACTTACTAAAATAATATTATTTCATAACACGTCAATTAAATAGACAAAGAAATATTTCAATCAATTTAAAACATAAGACACAGAATAATACTTACTAAAATAATATTATTTCATAACACGTTTAATACATTCCAAACATAAAACTTTTATCAAAATATTTAATAAAATGCGTAATACATTATTTTATCACTGGATTAGATTTAATAAAGAAAACTTATATAAATAATATTGGAACAAAATTTATTTGAAAAGTTTTGGTCGAAAATACGGATTTCTAATTCATAACTCTTTTTATACGAAGACAGATTTAAATCAAAATAATAATGCAAATTTTGTATTTTCATAAAAATTTGTTTAAAGGTTACAAATTAATTCTATTACATTTGATTTATGTCACATTCGCGAATGACACCCGTTAATATAATTTGACTGTTATCACATCACCAAGTTTCAATTAGATATAAATTTGAAATTATGCAACTTGTATTGTATGTTGAATGAGAATTTTCATCTTTGGGAAATTAAGACTAATTCCTTGTTCATATACATGTTAGTCAAGTGAAGGACTATGGGATCTAGTACACACAATTGTGTACTGGTCAAGTCCACCAAAAAGAATGATAAGACTATTCATTATGATTTACTAAAAGTTTAGTAAAGATGGTTATACTTACAAGATTAAGTGTAATTTTCAATCATTGAAAAATTTTCATTGTGTGGCCAAACAAATAAGAAGAATCAAATTAGGCAGAAAGATAAAAGTTTCTCCAATCTGAAAGGAAAGAAAAGTACTTTAGGATCGTGTTTTATGATCATCTTAATGATTATGAAAACCATATCACAATCGATACTTTAAGGACACCTTAGTACATTTTTATGGCTAAGAAGAGGTATCGGGAATTGTTGAAATGGTTAAATCAATTAAGGAGAGTCATACTTCGTTGCAAAATCAAGTCTTAGAGTCATACTCGAAGATTGTACAGTGAGTGACATAATCTTATGAAAGGTTTATAACACTTCTCAAATGTAGAGTAAAATGTTTCTTGCTCTTGTACATTTGATATTGGTAAGTTGTGATGTTTAGATAAGATAAAGACCAACTGAGTGAAGTGTTAATATTGATAAGAAACCGTACTAATTCTTGAATATTTGTTTGTCAAGGAATGTTCTTGACAAGAGAAACTTATATGTCAACAGGTCAGTGGGAGTCTTTGTCACACCCCCAAACCGGAACGGCAGAAACGTTCGGGGGCGGATGACTTCATGTGGTAACGAAACAAATGAATACATAGTAAAGAAAGCAATACAACACCACCATAATATAAATATATTTGAAAAGTTACATGATTGTATGTGTTACATGTTTGCAAAAGAAATCAAATACAATATGGTGACCCAAAATGTGTTACTAACGCCAGCGCGTTAGTCTTCAAAAGTAGTTGCTACCTGGTTTAGCAGTTTCCTGAGAATACAAGTTATTTCAAAGAAAAAGTGTCAACATTTAAGTTGGTGAGTTCATAAGTAGAGTTTTGAGGAAATGTATGCCATTTGAAAGTGCGGGTGTGTTTTCCCAAGAAAATCCGGTATTTTCTTATAAAAGTATGTAACGCATGAGAATATTTGTTGTATAAATTGTATGTATTTAAACCACGAAAAATCCTTTATTTTCCTAAAAGTGAAATGATGTGAAATGCAGTCTCAAATGACCAAGACCGTAAGCTGTAAGCAACTATTACATGATGAAAAGAATGATGTTGTATATCGTTGTTGTACAAAATGAATGTTTATGAACAAGGAAAATCCTATATTTTCCTAAATGTGAAATGCAGTCTCAAATGACCAAGACCGTAACCTGTAAGCAATTATGACATGCTAAAAAGAAGATGTATAGTTTTATTGTTAAGTAAAACTAGTTGTGGAAGTGTTTATCATAAGTTTTTGATTATGCTGATAATACCCTAAAATATAGTTATTACCTCCCCTAAGTATGATTGAGTTATGTACTACTACGTGCCTGAGTCATTGTTTCCACGAGTTGTGAGTTCCTCATAACCATACTAGACGCAGTACCGATGTTGACATTTGTCACCCCTAAAGACGGACTGTACCTAACAGTCAGGGTGCGGAGTTGTCAGCCCCGTATAGATCTATACACAACTTGTCACGCTCTCCCTCCAAGAGACTCTGGTTATAGGTGGGGACTTTCGTTTGGTACAAACATAGCCATATGACATCACATGATTGCTAACAACGAGTTCACGAGTAATATGATGAAAAATCGTTTGTATGAAATGATTTCCTTTTCTACTATGTTACAAAGACATGATGATGAGTTAAGTTTTCTTGTAAAAGCATCATGTTATAGTTGAAATGGTTACCCTTGATGTGATGTAGTATGCAAACGTATAAATAAAACATATTTCTGTTTATAAAACATATTGTATCCCAAGAGGGTAAGTTGTGTTGTAGGGTGTTTCGCATGATAATAACTTCATAAGATAGTTAAAATAATAGTATGAAAAGTATAGCAAAAGATCGATGTCTTACACGATTTTAGTAGTGTGTTTACTTGTATTCCCCCTATTTAAAAGCATATAAAAGTATTTATAAAACATTTAAAAGTGTAGTCTATAGGGGTATGAACTCACTTGATTTATTGAAGAAAGCGCGATGAAAACCGAGCAGAACTTCTACTCGAGAAAGCGGATCTCTCGAGATTCTCGGGAAATCTCGGGAGTCTCGGGAGTGTAAAACTTTCTTCCCACCTTGGATATGAAAACCGGGCCTTTGGGATGA